GCAGGAATCAAATACAAGCCAACATTTATTCAGCGCTTCCTACGCATCAAACACTATTCTAAGCGCTTTACATCTGGTATCTGATTTAATCCTCGTAACAACGCCGAATACACTTCTCCCCATTTTATGGGTCAGGACACTGAGGCGCTGAGCATTTGGGTTTGGAACCAAGTTCACAGAGAGTAAATTGGTGGATCCAAAGTCTTTGCTCTTAACCTCTGCACTGCACTGCCTTTGGAAGAAAAGTACTTTGTGGAAGGAAGAAAAGAAGGAAGGACTCAGCTCTCTATCAGAAATTGAAGGGGAGGGATAATTTCCAAGGTTAGTCATGGCAGTATTTAACCCTGGAATACATGGCTGTATTTTTGCGAGAAGTTCGTGTGTTGTGGTGATGGTTGTACCACACTCTATAGTTACCCCAAATCATTGGCTTGTACACATGAAATCAGTGAATTTTATGGTATGTAAAACCTACATTAAAACAGCTGTTTTTTAATCTATATATTCACGTGTTTCTAGTGATTTTGACTGAAAGGCCGAAGAACTGACAAGCAAAAAGAAAGAAAATAAATATACAAAAAGATCAGGGAACTGTTAAGAGTGATATTCTTGGGGCTGTATTATGTTGACTGAAGAAAAATGCACAACATGAGAGTTGTGAGTTAAGTTTTATTTTGGGCAAAGTGAGCCCTATAGTCCCGGATGCAGCCTCTCAGATAGCTCTGAGGAACTGCTCCGAAGAGTTAAGGGGGAGGTCAGTATATATGTAATTTAGGTGAAGGGGGATGCATGCAGTCAAACACACACATTTTGGCAGAGGGTTGCTGCTAGTGACAAGAAGGTAGCTGCTAGTCAGGAGGAGCAGATGTTTCTGTTAATGATTTTAGTGCTTTCCTGGATATGAGAAGATGCAAGAAATTAGGCTGCTAAAATCTCCCGAAAATATCTAACTATCTGGAGGCCTGTTCTGCCAGTTTTTTCAAGCGCAGAGTGCCTCATTCCTGATCTCCACCCTGAACTCCTTTCAGGGGGTGTTGGAGGTCAAAGACTGCAGTGGCTAGTGACTTCACTCTTGTAGAGTGACATGATGAGCAACAATTTTTAGCTGACAATTATAAGGAACTTTCATTTTTTACTTTATATGCTTCTGTATGGTTTGAGTTTTTATAGGAAGGATACATAACTTTTATTTTTCCCAGGTTTTCCCCCCAGTTTTATTGAAATATAATTAAAACATTGTATTAGTTTAAGGTAGACAACATGATGAATGATATATGTACAGATACATAAATTTTATAATCGGAAAAAAGGATATATATACATTAAAAATTATTGTATTTCTCAGTTAAGATAATGGAATAAAGCTTTCTCATCGGCTCTGTTTCCACTAATACCCAAGAAAGTTTTAAAAGTTAAAATTTCATCCACAGCAAGCAAAGCGTTACAGCTCAGTATCTTAAATGTCAATAAGCGGCAATCAAGGAAAGAAATAGAAGATCTGGTCTGGAACAAGCATGTCATGGTTTCCAATCCTGCCTCGATTTCATCAAAACTCATACTGTTAGGTCCACAAAATCCTGGAAAGTAACACATACATATGAGCATGTATTCCAAGAGAGAAGAAAATTAAGTGGTTTCCTTATCTTTTATCTCTTCTCTCTGGAAAAGTGAAAATAGCTACTGGGCAGATGAAGGTGGAGTGAGAAGTGAAGAATAGACTAAGTCTTTAGGTAGCAGTGAAGACTCCAGGAAAGCACACTGAATCAGAGGAGGCTCTTTCCCATGGGAGAGTGAATTCCGGAATAGACACTTAAAACCTCAGAAGTGATTGCAGAAGTTTGTATTCTAACAAAGACTGCACCTCACCTTCCCTGAGTTCTTCCCCCTCCCCTCCTTCAGACAAGCTTCTAAGTCATAGAAAAAGTGCATACAGTATAAAATAACAGCCTCAAGTTGCTGTTCATTAGGAAAACCAAACCAGTTTCAGATCAAGTGGGAAGGAATTCAGAAGGCAAGTAGAGAAAGAGAAAAAATTCACCCCAAGTGCTTTGAGCACTAGAATAACCTAAAAAGAAAACGAGCTCAGTAGATGAAATTCAAAAATGAGATAATAACACAACTGAAAGAGATGAATAGGGAAATTGCACATCTGATGAAGCGAAGACCAAAACAATGTCATTAAAGAACTAATAAATACATCAAAACAGCAAGGAACAGAATAGACATGGCTGGAGGTTGAATTATTGATGTGGAAAAAGGCTTGAAATAATCACAATAAAGGGAAGTGAAAAACACTAAGAGATTAAAACAATCAGGGAGAAGCTACTAGATATGGAAGACAGAGGTTGTTTGTGTGCCTGGAGTTGAGAACTCTTAAGTGGAACAGAAAAAGTATTCAAAAATGTAAGTACAGGGCTTCCCTGGTGGCACAGTGGTTAAGAATCCCCCTGCCAATGCAGGGGACATGGGTTCAAGCCTTGATCCAGGAAGATCCCACATGCCACGGAGCAACTAAGCCCGCGAGCCACAACTACTGAGCCCACGTGCCACAACTGTTGAAGCCCATGTGCCTAGAGCCCGTGCTCCACAACAAGAGAAGCCACCGCAATGAGAAGCCTGTGCACCACAACAAAGAGTGGCCCCCGCTGGCCACAACTAGAGAAAGCCCCTGTGCAGCAACAAACACCCAACACAGCCAAAAATAAATAAATAAAATAAATACATTTATTAAAACAAACAAACAAAATATATATATATATGTGTACAGAAGTTCCTCTAAAATGATGAGTTAATCTGTAGCTTGAAAGTCAAATATTTCATACAAAATATTTAACCCTGAGACATATTTTAGTTAATTAATTGAAATTCAGACATCCAGGCAGAAAAAAAGCAAATCGCCTACAAGAAAAAAATTCAGGCTGTCCTCAGATATCTCAAAAGCAACATTCAGAGACAGAAGAAGTGGAGCATTGTCTACAGAGTTCTGAAAGGACAAAAGTGTGATCCAAGAATAGTATACCCAGCCAAGTTGTCATTCAAAAATAAAGGTACTGGACAGTTCCCACAAATATAAAAGAACTCATAGAAAAGGGAAATACTTGAAAGTGAAATTCAGCCAATTAAGAAATAGGGCAAAATTAAGATTTTAAGAATTGAGAAGTCTTGGTAAAAGGATGTGTGATGATCATTGAATCCATTTAAATACAGAATTAATAATGAACACTTGAATGAGTTATTGTTTTGGAGCATATACATGTTATACAGATTAACAATGTGAAATACTATGACTAAGAAATATTGGCCCCATGGGAAGGGGTTATGAAAGATAGGATAAATGCACCAATGTCCTGATCTTCCACATCAAGTTCAATTGATTTTAACTTAAAACATGTTTTTTGAAAACAACAGTAAGAATAACATAATATCAAAACCATTTTTTCTAACCTTAAATCGATATTTTAAAAAATGATAACTCTTGTAGTGAATAAGCCCTTATTTGATGTCCAGCTTTTCTTTTAGTTTTTAAAAATTCTGTTAAATTTAACTAAGCTTGAATGCAATATTTTTTAACTTTTAAATAACACATATATTATGATACTATTTTTTAAAATTAGGTATATCCATTAACACACCTATTTATCTATCATTCTATCTGTGTAAAAGCATGGAAAGATTTAGAATGATGTTAACCAACTGTTAATAATTGTTATTTTAGATGGTGGGTTTTAAGGGGTTTAAAATGTTTTCCCTGTGTGTGTGTGTGTGTGTGTGTGTGTGTGTGTGTGTTGCGTTGCTTCAATTCCTTACAATGAAAAATGTTATTTTTTATAAGAACAACAACTGGATTTTTCTTAAAGCAAAGCAAATTGAAAAACAAAATTTCAACACTTCTCCCTAGTCTTCAGGATATGATTGATGCTTTTGTCTTCAAAAAAAACAATCTTTCCAAACCTATCTCCCTTTAGTCTCAAATTAACAGGGCTGATCTATAAGAGATATTCCCTGAAAATCTCTGCTCTGCTCCTTTTCCCAAATAATTTATACCATCTTGAATGGGGTCACCATCCTTATTCCTGGCAAATACAGTCCATCTCACAAAGCTCAACCTCTGGTCTGTCTCTTCAATTGACCTCTTCAGAATTCCCCCCCTGCCCAAGCATTTTTTTTTTCCGCGGGCCTCTCACCGCTGCGGCCTCTCCCGTAGCGGAGCACAGGCTCCGAACGCGCAGGCCCAGCGGCCATGGCTCACGGGCCCAGCCGCTCCGCGGCATGTGGGATCCTCCCAGACCAGGGCATGAAGCCGTGTCCCCCGCATCGGCAGGCGGACCCCCAACCACTGCGCCACCAGGGAAGCCCCCAAGCATTTTTTAATCAAATAGTTAAAGGTATCCATGTAGAGAAGGAGCAGTAGAGTTCTTACTTCCTCTGGGTTTGGTTTTAAGAGGAACCATTTAGAATGAGACAAAGTTCTTTCAATTTAAGTCAATTCCAGGTTGTTATTTTAATAAGTAGCTTCTGACGCTTATTAATATTATAATAGGAAGTGAGAGCTTGCAAAGT